AGACCGCTGAGGTTGCGCGGAAACTGACACAGGAAGAAGAAACTGCCGCCATGAGAACTCACGGGCATTGGCGGGGCATGGCTGACGCAGGCACGCGGGCGCACTATGATCAGAAGGCGATAGTTGCGCAGGCACAGGCGAGGGCAGACATCGATGACGACTTGCCTCTTTGGGGGGGCCTGCTCAGCCTGCACCCGGCCAGGGGGGGCGCCGAGCAGCGGGACGTGGGCATCATGCATCGTTTAACTGATTGCAGGCTCACCGACGACGAGTTGCAGAGCGTATACTTAATGTGGGAAGGTTGCGAGGCGACGGCCTCAGAAGTGGCATCTCTGCGACAGGCAGCGCTGGCGCCAGTCGTTGTTCAACCGCCTGACCTGAAGGATAAGTACCGGAGGGTCCCAACGCCACCGCAGTTCCCTGATCAATGCAAGGACGCGCCTGCTTGGGGGAAGATGTTGGCGAGGCATCGACATCACATGCGATGCACGGCTTTGCGCGCGCGCGCGCCAGCGTCGGACAGGTGGCTCGCGTTCACGCGCGCCAGGCAGCGACCTCATACGCCAGCTTCTGCGAGATGACGCGTCTGCCAGAGGAGCCACCAAAGAGGGTGGTGGCGGGTGCGCAAGCAGAGCAGCGTGAACTAACATCTCATGCTTTCGTTTGGAACAGCCAGTTTATCTACCGTCGCGACATTGGTTTCAGGGCAGTGGATCCTTCTCACATTTCTGCTGTACCTTTCTTGACATTCGCTTCGACCGGCAGATGCTTCAGCGATTTCGTGGAAATGCCCCTTGAAGAACGGTTCGCTCAGATGCCTGCGCTTCTGCGGCGGGACACCGAGGAGACTGATGATGCGTTGCCAGAGTGGATCACCCCGCACGACTTCGTTAAGCGGCCTTGGTTGATTGAGCACTTGGCGCGGAAGGCCGGGGGGGGGCAGCGAGGGCGTAGGGGGGCCGCCAGCTCCTGCACCCCCGCGCGCTGCTGCAGCCAGGGCGGAGCCGAAGGTGGGCGACATTTTCAAGTACATCATGGACAAACAGCTGGAGCACGTTGTGGCTCTCGCGCCGCGGGCCCCCGACTTCGCGGTCATCTTGATGAAGGGGAAGACGGCCCTTGGAAAGACCGGCCTGCCCATCGACTTTGCCAGGGGGCAAGGAGGCGCGCCCGAGGCCGACAAATGGTTGCAGGATCGGGCAAGCATTAGAACCTTCGACGCTTCATGGCGGCAGTTCGGCGAATTGGAGTCGATCGCTCTCTGTCAGTTCTGGTGCTACAGGATGCAGTATCTGTTCGACGCTCGCCGGGGGTGCGATCTGGCCTCGAACCACGATAAGGGGGGCGCCGTCAAGGACCCAGACATTCTCACCGAGCTCATCCGGCAACTGGCCGACGGGGCTCCCCATTGGGGGCGCATTGAGCAGGTGCGGAGGATCGCGTAGCTCGTTGCGCTGCGCCGTCGAATCCCGTTTCTCCGGTCGACCGAAAAAGGCAGACACGAACAAACAACAACAGAAACCAAACAGGTAAACACAACGAACAAACAAGCAGGTAGACACAACAAACAGGTAGACGCAAAGACGAACACGCAGACGAAGACCCAGACACACAAAAAAAGCTGGGCGCACTGCGAACCAGATTTTTCCCTTGTTTTCCTCGGGGCGGGCGGGCCCCGGGGCCCAGGGGATGCAACCAGGCCCGCAAGGGCCGGGGCGCGGCCGGGAGCGCGGCTCAGTCCTGCTCGGCAGGAGGCCCCGGCGTCGATTGGCCCCGGGGGGCCGCTTGCGCCGGGGCCCCGGGCGAATTCCGAGGAAACCGTTGGCCTCTGGGGCACCGGGCGTTCACGCAAGGGCACGCTCTTCGAGGCTCCTTCCTCCTTCCTCTCTCCTCCCTGCCTCTTCTTCTCGTTGGCCTCTTCCGCTATCGGCTTGGTTCCTCCTCCCATGGCTCCTCCTGGCTCCTGCTCTCCTGCGTCCCCCTACCCTCCCGTATCGTGGCTGTTGTCTCTCCCCCTGCTTCCGGCTGGCCTCCCCCTGGGTGTCTTTCTCCCCTTTGTTCCTCCTGGCTGGGTTCTCTTCCGCCTCCCCGGAGCCCCCGCCCAGCGCCCTCCTCCTCCTGGGGCCGTTCCAAGTCAACCCCGCTTCCCCCGATCAGCCTCCCATGTTTTCGCCTCTTTCGTCTTTCCCTCCCCCATGTCTTCTCGCCTGACCTCCTTTTCTTCCCCTCCCTCTGCCCCTTCTTCCCTCCTCCCCCTTCCCTTCGTCGCCCCTTTCCCCCGTCCTCCCTTGCCCGGCCCTCTCCCCTCTCGCCAATCGTCTCCCGTATTTCCTTCCAAGCTTGCCCCCTCGCGCCCCCCCCCCCTGCCCCCCCTCGTCTCCACATGTTGCCTGGGCGCCCCGGGGGGCAGCTCCAGCGGTTCTGCGCGTGGTGCACATTGGCCTGGCGGTGCGATGTGAGCCACCAACTTGGCATGCCAAATCGGCCAGCGTTTTGAGTCTCGCGCGGTGCACAGCGGACCTCTCCAAGGTGGTGCACACCGGCGCGTTCGCTGTGACTTGTCGCATGGAACTTCCCCGTGTGCACCAGTTGGTCCGCGGCCGTCTTGTCAGTGTGCACCAGTGTGCACCATCCCGCGCGCGCACAACCGAGCCTTCCGAGCGCGCACCACCTGGCCTTTCCAGCGTGAATTTCCCCGGCGTGCGCCGCCAGCGTGCACATCCCCAGTGCGCACCGCCTGCCCTTCCCAGTGTGCACCATGCCTTGCGTGCACTACCCTCTCCGGCCCATTCCGCATCCATGAAGGCTGAAGCCATTGTGGCCCGAAGCCAGACTGGGCTGAGGCCTCAGGAGCAGCAAGCGGCAGGCGCGGCCGCGCTGTCGACGCCGGCGAAGGCGCAGCCCGGCCCTCCAGGCACCACGCCGGACAAGCGGAGCTTGTTCGAGCGGGCCGAGCTGCAGGCCGAGCTCGGCAAGTCCTCGCGCTCCTCGGCGAGAGCGCGCTCTCAGGTCGGGAGAGGCGCCGGCGACGCCGCCAATTTCGCCGCGATCAAGGCCCACTTTGGCAAGATCGAGGACGACGCGCTCTACGGGGTCGCGCGGCAGGACAAGAACTTGTGGCAGCGGGTGCACGCCCCGCAGAAAGTCGTACTCTTTTCCCCCAGTGGGTGTCAAACTGGCGGCGGGCAGCGTGTCGAGGGCCGTTCATCCTTGGGGCCGCGCGGCATGCCGTTGTCCTCCTCTCTGCCTCTGTCTCACTCTCAGCCCGATCTTGCTCTTGCCCGTGCCAGTTTTCCCCCAGACGGCGCCGCGTCTTCCTGGGCCGCGGCCCCGTCCGCGCCCCCGCCGCCGGGGTCGCGGCGGAGCCGGGGCTCGACGGGGACACGGCCGAGGGGGATCGGGCCTGTCTACCTGCCGCGTGGAGGCGTGTGACGATTGGGCGCAACGGGAGAGCAAGGGGAAGAAGAAGCACGGGCCGGGGTACTGGCCTACCTTGAAGAGCATGTACCTGATGCCGGGGAAGATCGAGGGCGCTGGGCCGCAGGCTGCCCGGCCGGGGCTGCGCGAGTCCAATCGTCCAGCTTCGGGCGCTGCTCCGTGTCTTTGGGTGTTCAGGGGGGGGGGGGGGGGGGGCGCCGGGCCGGCGGCCCGAAGGGGGCCTTTTGCGGCGCCGCCCCCGCGGGGCGGCGGCGTGCCCACCCCTCTTGTTCACCCAGGGGCCACCGTGGATCTGGAGCTCTTGAAGGGCATCGAGTCGCACGGGGCGTCGACGGGCAAGAGGAGCTCCAACGTGCTGTTCACGTGGTTCGACACGGCGCAGACCGTGAACCCGGCGACTTTCGCGGAGCTCGCCAAGTTCGCGAGGGGCTTGACCCCGATGGCGGTGACCCTGGACAAGGGGGCTACGCTGAAGGTGAGGACTTGGTGAACCGGGTGGGGCTCCGGACCACCCGGTACTTGGAGAGCTTCATTGACATGATGGGCATATTCGACTTGGTTCTCCTGCAGCTGCTCGGCATGTCGCAGCGCGACAAGTGCGGCCTCCGGAGCCTCTTCCAGGCGGAGGGCTCTCGCCTTGGCCTGCTCATGGACGTGGACATGGCGTGGGCGATCATCGACGAGCAGACGGACATGGCCAGGCATATCGGGCACGTGGCTTTGCTCTCCGGCCAGTGCATTCGACGGCAGAGCAGGCTTTCAAGGCCACGAAGAACGACGTCGTCGTCGCGCACCTCTCGGCGTTCGCGAGGCAGGAGGCGAAGACGTGGGACAGCCACCGCGTCACGAAGGCGGTCGTGGACAGGGCGCGGGAGGCGTGCCTGCAGGAGGCGCCCGGTGTCACCTGCGCAGAACCCGTCGTTCGCAGGACCTCCTCCTGGTCTTCGCCCTCCCCCCACTGTTACGAGGTTTTCTCTTCCGACCGAAACCGAGATTTCCCATGCTTGTAATTTTGATGTTTGTTTTCAGTCCCCCTCCCTCCCCTCCGGGGTCTCGCCGCCCCCCCGCGCCGCCCCCGTGCGCGAACCGTCTTCCGAGCACCCTGTAGGCCTTCAGGCCCGCCGCATGTCCTTTTTTCGAGTCGCCTGGCCGCGGACATCTCGACCCCTTCCCTGGCGCCCCGGGCCTGGAGAACCGCGCAATCCGGGGGTCTCCGGAGGTCTCCGGAGGTCTCCGGAGGTCTGCGGAGGTCGGGGGGTCGTGCCGGAGTTCTGCCCGACGTTCTGGCTGGGGTCTCCGGCGGTCGTGCCGGGCTCCGAGGTCTCTGGAGGTCTTCGGAGGTCTCAGGAGGTCTGTGGAAGCTCCCGGAGGTCTCCGGAGGTTTCCGGAGATATCTCCGGAGACCTCCGGAGGTCGTGCTGGATCGTCTCGCTGGAGTCTCCAGAGGTCTACGGAGGTCTGGTGAGGCATCTGCCAGAGGTACCTGGACGTCTTTGGACTGACCCGGGCTTCCCCGGAAGCGCCCGGGGACGGCCGCGTCTGATCCAGTCCCAGAGCGCAAGGTGGACCCGGTGCTCGCGGGCCAGGACATCCAGATGGCCGCGGCGACTTTCGGGCAGGAGGTGGAGTTGGCGCCCCATTGCGGGAAGAAGAACCGCAGCTCGGGCAAGGGCTCGGCGGCGCTGTGGCTCGAGGCCGGCCTCGTCGCGCAGGGGCGCGAGGACGACGGCTCCAGCGCGGGCGAGACCGAGCTCGCCGGGTACAACACGTGGCGCGGCATCATGAACGAGCTCGCGGAGAGCCTGTCTCCGACGCTGGACGGAGCAGCCGTCAACCGGTTCCTCCTGTCTCGGAGCAGCCGGTGGCTCACCCACGACCCGAGTGGGATGTGCGACGTGGCGTGGTTGCGCAAGTTTGCGGGGCAGGCCGGCGCCGACCCAATGTGGCTCATCACGAAGACGAAGCTCCCGCACCCGGGTTACCCGAACGATGCCCCGGCCATCCTCGCCCCCCTGCGGGATTTCCACGAGAGCCGCGTGGCTGGCTTCTGTGGGACATGGGAGGGCGCCGAAATCCGAGGTGAAGACGATCATCGATGCCATCCAGCAGTGCGTGAAGGACGAGCGCATCACGCCGGAGACCGCGAACATCGCCGACGCCGCCAAGAAGCGAGAGGCCCTCGAGCGCATCAGCCATCTGCACCACAAGGAGGTCACGAACGACGCGAACGGCATGACTGCGACGCTCACCGGGGCGAAGGCGCTGAAGCACCTGCTCGGCGCCTTGCAGCAGAAGGTGGCGCAGGGCGACAACATCAGCGCGAACGACACCATGCCGCTGAAGGTGCTGAACTACGTGTTGGACGAAGACGACCAGAAGCTCAGGCTGAGGATCACCAAGGAGGCGACGAGGCTGCTTCGGGAGCAGTCGGCGGCTGGAGTGGTGGACGCGGCCACCATGCAGGTCGCGGAGTCCCTCGGCGTCGTCGACGCCCCGCGGATGCACCCGAAGGAGATGCTCAGCGCGGTGCCGGCCGGGCCCATGTTCGAGGGGAGCGCGAGCTCGACGGGCGCCGAGAGGCGTGCCAAGATAGCTCGGGTGGCCAGCGTCTTCTTGAAGAAGCAGGAGGGCGCCTGAGATGCCCGCGTGGTGTCAGAGGCCCCCTCTCCGGCCCCCGCCCCACATTAAAAAACAATAATCAAAACGACGGTTTTACCTCTGGCCTCCACAATGAAAGCGGCGCTTTTATTGTGCCCCCCCCCCCCCCCCCCCCAATATACAAACGATGCTATTCCTCTGGGGCCCCCATAATGAAAACGATGATCCTTCCTCCTTACCTCTCCTCCCCTCTGGGGCCTCGCCGCCGCGGGGGCCGCGGAGGGCGCTCGTTCTCACGGGGGCGCGCGCGTTGCCAGCGCGTTTGTCCTGCGCTGCACGAGGTGGCCGTTCCTAAGGGGGTGGCGCGCTGCAGCGAGGACGTCGTCGAGGGCGCCTGGCACGCGGCTCCCGGCAACGCTACTCATCGCAGTTGATTCGCCGGCATGCGCCGCGCAGCCGAACCGCGGCCCCCTCATCGAAGAACCGAAAGCGACATAAACGTAAACTTGTGTGTCTTCATGTCGTGTTTGTTTCTGCTAAGTAACTTTTTCAACGACCGGCCTCTAATGGAAATCGGAAACCACAATAATCAAAACGACGATTTATGGCAGGTCCCGAATAATCACAACGATGATTTTTCTTCTGGCCCCCATCGGAAAAGACAATGGTTTTTCCTCTGATCCCCCACAATGAACACGATGATCTGTCTCGTTGGTGCGATGTTTTGGCACGCTCAGTGGTAGCAGGACCCCCCTCGGCCCGACCGCCTTCGGTAAAGTCACTTGCGGTGCGCCCCCATTGGCGCGATCGTCTTCCTTGCGATCCGCTATGGTACGAACAGCGTTTGCACGATCTCCATTGGCGCGATCACATATCCCGGGGCCGCCTGCGGTTTCGTCGCCCCTGGCGCGGTCGAAGGGCGACAGTCTGGACGCCGTATCTGCGCGCAGTGCGAGGGGGGGGGGGGGGGGGGCCGGATTTGCCTGCCCCAGCGGTGTCTCCGTAGGCCAAGATAGGCCCCAAAATGGTTCATTGCCACACTGCCGAATCCAGCAGCGATTCCGAGTTCAATCCAATCCTCCTCCCCCCTGTTTCTGCTCGCGTTTCCCACCTCCCTGCCCCCCCCCCCTGCATTGCCCCATCCCGGCCCCCTTTCGTCGTTTTCCGTTCTTGCCTTAATGCAATGGCGTCTCAAGTGTGATGAGTAGCACTCGCTCGCCAGCTCGTCGCGAAAGGTAGACTCACCTCGGGGCCGTCTCTTCGCAGCGCACGCGCTTACTTCCAGGAGCCTACCTGCCGACACTAGGCGATTGCGCGCGGCAGCGCGCAATTGGCCCCACTTTGAAACCCACGGCGCCCCTCGCGGCACGCTCGACCTGGCCGCGGGGTCGATTTCCCAGAGACACAACTGGCGGGGCCAGTTGCGGCCGCTCGAAAAAAACAGCGGCGGCACCGACAGATACTTTTGACGTTCACGCTTCTGTGTCATGCATGGTTTGCCTTGCGATCCATAATCGGCGCGAGTTGTCGTCGTTCAGCATGGCTTCGCGCGCAGCGTGCCCCCGTCCACGGCGTGCGAAGTGTGTTGATACCCCGCCATATCCTTTCCTTCTCGCCCCCCTCCGCCCCCCCCCCCGCCCCCTTTCCCCCCCCCCCTCCCCCCTTCGCCTTGCCGACGGCCCCCGGGGGCGGCGAGGGGGCGGGGGCGGCGGGGGCAGGACAGGTTTTTTTTTTTTGCTCGAGGGCAGAAGCGATAGCCTTCTGACGTGGCTAGCGCCGATACCCTGCAGCCTATAAATCTGCAGGTGTGCGAACGGCAGGCGAATCAGAGGCCGATGCCCTTGTCCTTGCCCTTGCCGACGCGCCCAGGCGGCTCGAAGCCCGACTTGCCCGCGCCAATGTTGACCATGGCGTAGGAGCCGCGGGGCTTACTCTTGCCACCCTTGCCCAGGCTGGGCTCGTTCTTCATGCACTCGAGTGGAGCGGAAGCAGCCGACGAGTTGTACTCCTTGAGCACGCCCTTGTGCTGCGACTCTCGTGCAACGTCTGTGTCCTGCACCGCCTGGTCAGTCTCGAGCGCCTTCTTGGGAATGGGGTTGTCGATGGTCTCCAGCTCCTTCTGCTTGCCCTCGAAACTCAGGAGGGTGGAGGTCCGCTGGTCCATCAGGTTGAAGGTATCGTGCACCACCTTCTCGATCTTCTCCTTGTCCCCATCCCCGTACTTGTAGCGTGGATTGTCGCAGCCCTGGTCCGAGTCCGTGCAGACAAGGTTGGACCAGTGCTCGTCTTTCTCATCCGAGGGGCCCGCCGTGTCGGACAGCCCGGATTGCTTGCGCCCGCGCCTGCGGCCGCGCTGCCGGCGCCGCTTCTCCGCGACCGGCAGGCCAAGGACGCCGGCGCCCTTGCCAATCTCGGCGTGGGCGGCGAGGTTGCGGCCCAGGCGGACCGCGCCTGGGACGGGCTGTCCCGCGACCTGGAGCGAGAGCGCCCGCTCGATCGCCAGGGGCCGCGTCGCCACCTCCTGCTCGCCCGCCTCGTCGAGCGGCGTCTGCTGGACGTCCTGCTGCAGGCCCAGCAGGGAGGCGCCAGTGCGGAGGGCAGCAGCCACGGCCGCAGCCGCACTCTGCCGCCCGCCCCCGCCCTCCGCCGCGCCTGCCGCCGCCGCCCGAGCCAGCGGGGCGAGGGCCTCCACCAGACCCGCGCTCGGGGGCGAGGGGACCGCAGCCATTGCCAGGGCCGCAGGGCGAGGGGACTGAGACAGAGCCGCTCTCTTTGCCCGCCGAGGCGACGGGACTCTACGGAGAGAGACAAGGCGCGCGCCTCGCCCGCCTGGCGCCCAAGGCAGGCTTGAGCCAAAATGGCTACGGAGGGGCAGGACAGGCGAGGAAGGAGGGGAGGGAGGAGGAGCAGCAGCAGCAAGGATGATGAGGATTTTTCCTGCAAGCCCACGCTGGTGTTGGTGTGAAACCACGGCGCACAATATTGGCGGCGATGGCTGTCACCATCGTCACATTGCCCTCGGGCCGGCGCGACTGTTGATCCCGCGAGTCCCTGCGGGAATGGGAATCGCAAGTTCCTCGAGGGCGCAAAAGGGCGCGCGTGCAGCCTGCAAAGGGCGCCGGTTTCCTCAACTAGATTACACGTGTGTTTATCAACGGGCAGGAAGCCAGATACTGCGGGACACCGCCCCGCCATAAACCACAACGCAGATGCCACTCTGGCGTTGCGTCTTCATGCGCGTGTTCGGGCGCCGGAGTGAAAAAAACGTGGCTCGCGTGGCATCTCTGAACAGCAGGAATGATGCTCGTCCGCGCCGATATTTTGGGGTCGCCCTTCATCTTCGAGGCTTATGCTGCGATTGTGGGTTGGTCGTGCGTTTGACCCCCATCGAACAAAAAGTTGGGTGCTTTGTAAAAAATCCGAATCGAGCGCCGATGTGGCGGCGACGAGAGTTGAACGCTCAGGCGCTGAGAGACATGCGCGCTTTTGGGCTTTATTTACATAGCGATCAGGGCATGTTGAGCGAGGTCCTACGTCGTTGTCGGGCAGCCCGTCAGGCGTGGAGGATACGCGGGTGCATCTGGGCGTTTTCCATTGCGAAATGCACCCGCCGCTTGACGTTCCAGGCCTTCGCTGTCGAGGCAGCGTTAAGTGGCCCACCGGCGTTTGTCATCCCTGCGAAGTCCGTCGGCGTCCTAGATCAGGCCCCGTGCAAGTTTTTGAGGGCGTCGTCTAAGGGAGAGGCGAGCTGGGGGGCGAAGGCAGGGGCAAAACGTTGCAGATCGAAAAATTGCGCTCAGAACTTGGAAGATCCCAGGTTGCGCTACGCAGTTAAGAGTTAGACGCATCCACAGCTACTTCCGTTGGGCAAGCTACTTCGATGATCACCAGGCGGCGGTGGCAGCCGCATTCGGCGCTGCATGGATGGACCAGGTCTCTCCGCTTTTCATCCGACCTTCGAGCGCGCCGCGATTCGCGTTGTCGATTTCGGCCCATTAGCGCCTGTCGACCCCGAGTTCGCCGAATGGCACCATGAAAGAAGCGACGACATCAGCTCGCCGCGACACGGCACCCAAGAGAACGAGCTCTTCTTGAAAACCGCCCCGCCGCACTGAACCGCCATCGAGAGGCGCGGGGGGGCGGGGGGCAACGCGGGCGGGGGGGGGCAGACGGTGGAGGAGCATTATAAGCCCTGCTGGTGCGACCGCGCGAAGTAGGAGGAGGAGGAGGGAATGGGACCCCCCCCCCAAAAAAAAAACGCCCTGCGGCAGGAGGCCCTCGAGCGCAGCAGGTCTCATCGCGCGCCGCCGAGATGCCCGTGGAGCCCCCCCCCCCCCCCCCCTCGAGGATAATGGTAGTCACCAACCAGTGCCCTCGGCGCAAGAGCTGCGTCGCGGATAGAGCGGGCGCCCTGGGCCCCGCGCGAAGGGCCGCGCTTAGATTTGGCTAGTGCTTCAGCGATCGATCTAAGCGGGGCGGGTCGCGCGCCTCGAATCCTGGGCGACCTGCAACGTCGAGCCAGCCCCCTCCCGGCTCAAAATTTCGAGAGCCTCCAGGGGCATGTTCGACAACATTTGCCAGGTCCACATTCGGTAGTCGAGACCGTTGCAAGACGCAGCGGGGGCGCGGCCGATCGGCTCGCCGCGCGTTCCACTCTCGCCTCGAGCGCAGCCAAGCGGTCCGGCGACCAACCTACAGGCGTTCCGCCCCAGGCTTCATGAAAGGACGCAACCCTGTCTCCCGGTTTTCTCTTCGCTTCCAGCCACCATGGCCGCCGCCGATGGCATGCTGCACGCTTCCCTGTGCAACTTCGCGCCGTTCGCGGAAGCGCGGACATGGGGGCCCCTCGACACCCGCGGCAACGCCTTCGCCCATGGCCCAGTCGCCACTTCTCTCGGAAGTTTGGCTCCCGCAGGCGGTCGATGTCAGGAGTTTTGGGCAACGCATGCAAGTCAGACAGTCATGCACGTCGTTCGCCTTGCCGCCCCATCGATGGTCGACGTCCGTTTCGCTCGTAGCTCCGCTGCCATCGCACCAAAGCGAGCGAGTGTCTGTCGGGCCAGCAGGTCGCCCGGCGGCTGTTGGCGGCGCTCCAACACCCCTTGGAGGCACCCGGCTTGCCGTCGAAGCGATCGCATCGGCGGCTGACCCGAGTCGTTCCTCGGAGCGCCGCTCCGGCTTCGAACGCGGCATCTGGCCGCTGCGCGGTCGGCACGGCGACCGAGGAGTGACTGGGTCGCGCCACCAATGCGAGCGCTTCGACGGCGTCGCCAGAGGCCTGCAGCAATATCCCCCGCATCCCCCCCAGGGTCGCGGTCCGGTATATGTACTTGCTTGCCAGCGACATCGACAGTACGCCTCCCGACTCCGACCAGGCGGCCCGCTTTGCGTCCGCCGGGGGGCACTTGATCACCGCGGCGCGCGCGCCGCGCGTGGTCCAACGTATCTAGGGCGGTCTAGGATGGCCCGTGTAGGGCAGGCCGCGAGGACCTTGTGACAAGGGGTCCAAGTTCTCGTTTTGGGATTGTTGCGGATGGACGCTGTATCGTTTAGGTGAACAACAAAACATGACGCCTCCCGCGCTGCATTCATTGCCGCTGTCGCTCCTTCCTGCCTGCTGAACGTTTGCTGCTGCCGTTTCAGGGCCAATTCCTTCGGCGTGAAACCAATGAGCACGAAAGAGAGAATCGTCGACGATATCGACTGGGTAGAATCATGAGTACGTGCAAGACAATGGGCAGACGCATTAGCTTGAACTAAGCATTACAGTGGTAGTTACATCCATACAAGCACGGTCCCTACTGATAGATTTGAAATATTCGAATGCGCGTGGCGCAATTGTGCACGCGAGCAGGCTCACAGCGGTGAGATGCCGAGCGAAGAAACAAAAATCGCGCGAAAAAGCAGCGCACGCCACATAGTCTTAAACCACTGTTCCCTATTGATATACACCCTCTCCCCCAGGCGATTGGGAGCCAACCAGGGGCAATGAGGGACCCCCCCATCCACCATCCCCTGTAACAAAAACAATACTAAACACATTCTGCCTCCAAGTTCGGGGCATGCGCAGCGAACCCGATGCGGCCTCCCCCCACCATCCCTGTCCAAAAAAACAATACAGAGTACACTTGGAGGCAGCGGCGGCTGCGGCGGGGGCAGCGGCTGCGGCGGCTGCGGCGGTGGCGGCAGCGGCTGCGGCGGCGGCGATTCGGCAGCGGGGGCGACGGCGGCGCCGGCGCCGGCGCCGGCGGTGGCGGGCGGCGCGGCGCCGGCGGACGGCGGCGGCGGGCGGCGCGGCGGCGGCGGCGGCGGCGGACAGCGGCGGCTGCGGCGGCGGCTCGGCGGCGGCGGCGGCGGCGGGCGGCGGCGGCGGCGGCGGCGGAGGCGGCGGCAGCGGCGGCGGTTGCGGATTCGCCCCCAGTAGTTGCCCATCCAAAGACGACTGCTGAATATCTTGCGGCTCGGGCCAGGCTCGGGTGCTACGTATGCGTTGGGAAGGCGGGTGGGAGTGAGCGGGACGGCTTGCGGGCGGGGAGGGAATCTGGATCTCACCCCAACCCCCTCCCCCTCTCCCTGCCGCACGAACAAAACAAATCTTCGAGGCACACTCGACGGCGCAGCGCGCTTTCCAAGAAGCCGCGCTCACGGACGCGAGCCCCACCAGCAGGCGGAGCGCGTTGAGAAGGCCCAGCGGCGCGGGCAAGAAGATGAGCCTCCCCGACGTGTTCGAGGAACAGAACACAACGCCCGCTCAGGCGTTTGTCCCCCGACGCCCTCCTCCTCCTGTTCCTCCTCCTCCTCCTCCTCCTCCTCCTCCTCCTCCTCCTCCTCCTCCTCCTCCTCCTCCTCCTCCTCCTCCTCTTCCTCCTCTTCCTTCTTCTCGCCCTCATCCACCATTCTACCTTCGGCCTGGACCATCGGGGCGGGGGGGCCCGCTCCCACCCAGGACGAGGAGGATGAGGAGGAGGAGGAGGAGGAGGGACAGGATGAGGAGGAGAGGAAGGGGGAGCGGGCGTGGAGAACGGGGAGGAGGAGGGAGGAGGTGGAGGAGGAGGAGGAGGAGGAGGCGGAGGATGAGGAGGAGAAGGGCGAGGAACGAGGGGGAAACACCGCCCGCTCAGGCGCGCGCCCCCTTGACCAGGAATCTTCCTGGACGTTTTCGCGTCGTGGCACAGGTCACGGCGGAGGGGTTTCGGTGGGCTTTCGACGTTTTACGCTATCCCCACCAGCCCGCGCATCAACGATGCCCAAGCGAATTGCTGTAATCGGGGGAGCTGGGGAGCACACAGTGGAACAGAGAGCTGGGGAAGCCGCCAACCCGAAGTTTGGGATCGCCCTAAGAAGGTCTGGCGGCGAATTGCCGTGATCAGGTGAGTTGGGGAACACACAGTGGAGCAGAGAACTGGGGAAGCCGTCAGACCGAGGCTTGGGATCGCCTGGAGCAGGCCCATCAGTGAAGCGCACATGCAATTTCCGACCTGTCGAACGTGGTAGCGGAGAAGAAGGATGAGGAGAAGGAGGAGGAGGAAGCGTAGGGGGAGGATGAGGAGGAGAAGGAGCAGTAGGAGGAGGAGGAGGAGAAGGCAGAGAAAGAGGAGGAGGAGGAGGAGGAGGAGGAATGATGATGAAGGAGTGGAAGGAACAAGAAGAGTTTCATTGAACACATTCTCCATCAACGTGGCTTATTCTGGTTTGGAGGAGGAGGAGGAGGAGGAGGAGGAGGAGAGGAGGGAGGAGGAGGAGGAGTAGAGGAGGAGGATGAGGAGGAGGAGGAGGAGGAGGAGGAGGAGGAGGAGCAGGAGGAGGAGGAGTAGGAGGGGAGGAGGAGGAAGAGGAAGAGGAGAAGGACGATGTTTGGAATTACGGTGGTATCAAGATTACGGCCGATTCGGATCTCAGATTGTTGGGGTGGAGCGATGGGGGATGTCGCAGCGGACAACATGTGTCTTCATACGCTTGGATTCTCAAGGGCCAGCGGGCTGATTCCTCAATGGTTCTCGTCGCGGCATGCGCCAAGTATTATCCAGTGAAGGCCCAGAGCAGCTTAGAAGTAGAATGCTTAGGTATGCGTTCACTTTGGGATTTCGTTCGTGATTTAATCGCCGGTGGAGTGCCGGATGGCAGCCCACGCAATGCGCAAACGACGGACATGTGTGGCAATCCGCAATTGTTTCATGTAGTTGATTCTATCCTTGGGTATCACAGGCGAGACGTATGAGCTCAAAGCCGCTGCGAAATGAAATGAAATGAGGAGGAGGAGGAGGAGGAGTGGAAGGAACAGGAAGAGTTTCATTGAACACATTCTCCATCAACGTGGTTTATCCTAGTTTGGAGGAGGAGTAGAGGAGGAGGAGGAGGAGGAGGAGGAGGAGGAGGAGGAGGAGTAGAGAGGAGGAGGAGGAGGAGGAGGAGGAGGAGGAGGTGGATGAGGAAGGGGTGGGGGAGGAGGCGATGGTGACCATGACGACGACGACGACGACGACGACGACGACGACGACGACGACGACGACGACGACGACGACGACGACGATTCAAGCATAAAAAGAATGTGTGGACCTTTGCTCTGAGAGCCTCTTGGAATCATCTTGGTGTCCCATTGGAGCCGTTTGGGGGACTTTGAAGCCGCACTTGGAGCGTCTTCGGGGCCCTCTTGGGGGGACCCGGGGGCCCTCTTGGGGCGGGCCATCTTGAAGTACATCGATTAAAGAAGGGGATGCCCCCAATTCCCCCTCTCTTGGGGCGCCTTTTTGGGGGGGGGCTATCTTGGGGCCCCCTTGGCCGCCTCTTTGGGGAGATCCGTGGCCTTTTGGAGCCGTCGTGCAGCGGTCTTTGGGCCTCCCAGAGGCATAGGGGTGGCCATCTTGATGTACCTGAAGCCATCTTGGACTAGCTGGGCCCTCTTGGAGCCATCTTGAGGCCTTCCTGGACGTTTCAACGGGTCGCGACCCCCCCCCCGGCCCTCGCCTAGACCCAGTGGGAGGGGGAGGAGTCAAGTCTTCCCCCCCCCAGAAGGACGGCCGTCTCGGACACTCCCTCCCGCCCCCCCTTCCCGCCTCGTCAGAAGCAACCGAGGCCCCGCCGCGAGCAGGAGCCGCCGCCGACAGTCATCGGCAACCGGTGTAGGCGCCAGCCAGGTGCGCGACGCCGACGAGGCACGCCGCGCGTGCCATGGCACACCCGTCATCCCTGGCGCATCCCGAGGGCGCCTGCGCATGATCCAGATGTTGCCGCAAAGTGCAGTTCGTATGATTCGCCGAGCGCGTTCCACTACTCGCAAAGTGCCTGCTCGCAAACGTCCGACATGTACAGGTCTTCCTCCATGTAATATATCGTAAATCCCCCGCGGCGGATCCAGGCAATTTGCGAGTAGTTGATTTGCGAGTAGTGGAGCACGCCTGTCCAATGGTATTCATATGGGTGATGGGCCTGCGCGCAGCTGGCGATATGCCAGCCCTCCCCCTCGCCCGTATCAAAAACACATTGCGAAGTGGTCGCTTCTTGGTGCCCGCACACGATCCACAGTTTGCCGCAAGGTGCACTTTGTCTTGGTGATGACAAGGACTGTGTGGGGGGGTCGTCATGCTTCCCGGGTTGCCCCCAGCCAGGTGGGAGAGAGGTGCATGTGAAGAAGGAAAAGTGGTTTACTTTTCCCCGGAGAGGAAGAATCGAGTTGGACGAGGAACCGCTGTAGACCACCTCCGCCAAGAGGGCTGGTAGAATTTACAATGGATTGTGTCCTCGGGAGCGCGAACGCGACTTACTTTACAAGGGGCTGTGGCCTCGGAAGTGCGAAACCGTCATAATGCAAAAAGGATTGCAGCTTCGGGGGGCGCAAACACGACGTAGTTTACGATGGATTGTAGCCTCGGGAGCGCGAGCGCGTCGTAATTTACAGGGTGGGGGGGGCTTTGTGAGCGCGAACGTGCAGTAATTCTTGACACTTCGCACATCACCGCCAGCCTCTCCAGTGCTGGCTGGGCAAGGCGACAGAAACCTGACGCGCCTTCCTGAGCGCAGGGCAACGCCATCCCCTAGCATGCCCCGGCAGCCAATACGACGCGGGATGAGTTCGACTGGGGCGAGGGGTGGGGTGAGCGCCGCCCACGCCAGCATCATGAGGCCAGCCGCAGCGGCCCCTACAGCGGCCACTGGACAGGATGGGCAGGGTGGTCCAGCTGGGAGGCCGGCGACCGCTGGAGTCGGTCTGCGCGTACCCGCACACTCCCCGTCTTCGGTGACCTTGCTACATCTAGGTCGGGCCCTTGGCGCTCCTACGAACGTGCACAAGCCGACCTCACACAAGACCTAACCGACGCAGTCACCGGCCTCTACATCTACACGACCCCACTGGAGCGAATCGACCTTATCAACACCCCTGGCGAGACTCCGGCCGAGACCGTGAAGCAACTTCAGAGTAACCTCGGAGAGTACTTCAACGGGGTAAGGCACCAGTGGACGACCAGGAATCCCACACGGTCCGGCCACATCTGCGCCGATCCCACGAGCCAGGAGCCCGAATCATGCTTGCGCTTCCTCAAAGAATGGACCAGTCACGGTTGTGATACCATGAAGATGGACGATTCGCTTCGGCTGGGCGTCAACTGGGCTGCAGTCCGCACTCGGTTCAACGATAGGACCAGGGGCAAGGGCACCCCAGGCAAGGCCAAAGGCAAGGGGCCCCGGGAGGACAGCGACTCCCGCTGGACGAGGACGGTGGAGCCACGGCGGTCCGTGGGCTCGCGCCAACCCCGGGCGCACCCCTGAGTCCCTGTCCAGGCCACCCACACAGGCGAAGGCACGCCACGACTCTCTCCTGGCCATGGACGCCCCACACTGTATATCAGTGTGCCTCGCGGAGCCCTCCCTCCCCGACCAGGCGGGGCTGGTCGGCTCCTCCAGCGCACTACCTATGTCGTGCGCCAACACCGCCTCGAACGCGCCCAGCTGGGGCTGTTGGCTCGTCCCAGGCCTCAGAGCTCCTCCTGGGACACCAGTTTTCGGTCCCTCTCCCCCTGGATGACTGCCGGCCCCCCCTGACACGCCTTAGGCGATCCCGGGAGTTGCCCCCCCCCCCCCCCCCCGGGCGGGCTTCCAACAGTGCTAGAGCCCCTGCGGCGCCACTTGCAGCCCCGCGCTGCCCTGCATATCGGCGCTTGGCTCTCTTCGCCCATCCGGCAGCGAGGGCCCGCACACTGCCGACCCCCGCCCTGGCGGCCCCCCCGTCTCTACGGACCTTGCCCGTTGCGGGCCCCTTCCCAGGCGCATCACTCTGACCGCAGCTGTAATAGCTGCCCCCCCACGTCCCCGCCCCCCGCCCCTCCGCCCCTCCCGTCCTCGGTCCACGCTGCGGCTGCTGCCCCCCGGGCTCCTCACGCACGCTGCGGCTGTGAAGCTCCTCCCCCTCCCTCACCTTCCGTCCGCCCCTTCGCCCCCTTCCCCCACGCATAAGCATCACTCTGACCGCGGCTGTTAGCTGCTCCCCCTCGCCCCCGGCCCCCGTCCCCACGCCCCCCCGTCTCTGGTCCACTGCCCCCTTGGGCTCTTCACTGACGCTGCGGCTGTTGAGTTGCATCCCCACACCCGCACCCCGCCCGCCCCTTTGCCCCCCGCCCTCCACGCGCCGTCGCCTCATGGTTCCAGGCTTTCGCGATGGTCAGTGGTGTCCCTCCCTGGTCCGTCCTGGTCAGTCGCTCCTCCTGCGGCTGCCCCCCCGCAGATGGTGTTCGAACCCACCCTGTGTGACCCCAGGCTCTTG